GAGAGAGAGAGAGAGGAATCAGAGATGAAAACCGCGTGCGATGTCGTGAGAGAACGTCGTGAAAAGTGTTGGAAGCACGCAACACGCGCGGTGTAGAGGTGTTAATTTTACGACGATCGGGGCCGAAACCTTTGCTTCGTTTCGCGAAAACTTTTTGAGACGGCTCAATAAGGAATTCGCGCAGATGCGATTCCTCTCCTTTTCTCCTCCTCTCGTTTCGAATTATTGTTACTCGTCGAAGGGAGAGAGAGAGAGAGAGAGAGAGGAGAGGGAGGGGAAGCAGGGTGTATGCGTGCGCGACAAGTGGCCGCGTGAGTGCGTACATGCACGCAGATGCGATGATGCACGCAACCGGTAAGAAACGCACGCGATGCGCTCCCGACTCACCTTCCTTTTTAACGCGCTTTGCTCTCTCTCCCCTCGTCCCCCTTGCTCTTCCTCTTTCTCATCCATCCGTTTATCGCTTTCCCCGAAATTCCTTCCTTTTCGCTTCGTTTCGATCGAATCGATTGCTTGATCGCGATTTTCTCTCTCTCTCTCTCTCGTAAGATCGTCGAAAGAGGAGAGAGAAAGACAGAGGGAGGTAGAGAAAGTAATTGGCCGAACGCTATATCTGTCAAATACGTCGTCGAAAATTTGACGAAAAACCGGTTTGGGCACGCGCTCGGCCGGGGAAACATTCGTTCCTACGACTTTGAACGTGTGAATCGGAAACGATACCCGAAAATACCTTTAAAACGATAATCGACGGTTAAAGGGTCTCTCTCTATCTCTCTCTCTCTTTCGAGCAACATCTTTCTCTATTTTCCAACCGACTGACCGACCGACCGACCGACCAACCAACCAACCAACCAACCAACCAAGAAAGGCAAAGAATACATCCGGCTAAAATCTTGAAGTTCGAAAGTTCCGTTACGCGAATCGTGACGCGATTTAATCGAACGCGTTCTTTTCTCGACGAACGTGGAAGGGAATCGGATATATTACGACGTTTAAAGAGAGAAAGAGAGAGAGAGGGAGATGCGAAGCATATAACTATAACTTTCTCGACGAGTAATTTTTTCTTTTCTTTTCCTTCTTCTTCCTTTTTTTTTCTCTCTCTTCCTCGTTGGCGACACGTGTGCGCGTAAACGCGCACGGGTATCACTCGCGGATCCAATTTGAGATACGCGACCGGAAGACGCATTGTTCGCGGGGAATAGTACAAATTAACAGATCGGTATCGTGACGGGTGCAATTAACATTGTGTACACTGTAGCCGCGGTGGATCGGCTTTCTTGAAATCTGACGGTTTAATTAGGCGCCACCTTCGCGGCAGATGCTCGGCTCGTTCGCTCGCTTCGATTAATTACCCTCTTCCCCCCTCCCCCCCCACCCCCACCCCACTCGCCTCTCCCCTATCGTCCCGCTTCATCTCGCTTCGAATCGACACGGTTCGAACACGATCCTCCCCTCCCCCTCCCCCATTTTTCTTGCATACACGTTCACACCAAGCAATATATTTTTTTATTTTGTCGTTCGCGTTGTCGAACCGGCGGGTTCGAAATCGAAAAACGTGGAGAAAATTTTGTTTTCCATACAAAAGCGGACGACGAAAGGACGAGGAACGAGAGAAGGAAGGAAGAAAGAAACGATGGATATTTTCAGGCGGGACATCGACGAGGGCATCGCCGGTGAACATCGTTGCGACGGCGACCGTGGTGACGGACGAGGCGTTACTCGGCGACGACGAGGTGGACAACTGCGAGGGGGAGAGCGAGGGGACGGAGAAATCGACCCAGGAGGAGGACGAGGAAGTGGACGTGGACGTAGAGGAGTGCAGCAGCGTGGACGAGGGGCCGATCCACGACGCGGTTTCGGCCGCGGCCAACGCGGCCGCGGCGGCTGCGGCCAAGTGCCAACAGGACGGCGGCTCGGACGAGAGGAGGGCGCATCGGTTGAGGACCAGTTGCAACTCGGACGAGCTTCGGGACGTGGAGTGCCACCTCGAGACCAAGGAGTTGTGGGACAAGTTCAACGATCTCGGCACCGAGATGATCATCACGAAAACCGGCAGGTAAACGCAGCGACGCGTTTCGTGAAAAACCTTCCCCCTCCTCCCTCCCTCCCTTGTCGAGCTTCCTCGATCCGACGGACGTCGTCCTCCTCTCGCCTTCGCGAGCTTTTTCGCGTTCACCTTCACCGGTTTTTCTTTTCTTCTTTCTTTTTTTTCTTTTTTCTCTTCTTTTATACAGGCAATATGCTAATAAAGCAGCTGGCGCGCTCCGAGGACGCGTGACCACGAAATTACGTCGAGAGAGGAGAGAGAGAGAGAGAGAGAGAG